TCTAAATTTCTCTTCCTCAAAACCCCTTATCATATGAAAACCCTTAAGCAGACCTAAACTCAATGTTAAATCCATAATCACCATGCGCCGGGATTTTCAAAGGCATGACACAGAAACAAAACATGAGAAGCTAGCAGTCTCATGAGGATGTTCTTTTGGACTGATAAGCCAATTCCTGGGAGCTTGCAAACCACGATAAACACATTTCTACAATTTCAGTTTGTATGAGGACCACAGACTTACAAGATTGCAGACAAGTGTAAGCTTCTGAAATCTGCAGGTGAGAGAACTATAAATTTCAGACTCATGAAAGATTATTCCCAACGCAACTGAAAAATAGGGAGGAAAAAACCTATAGTTTTCAAGATTTAAATCAGCTCCTTGTTTCCCCAAGGATAATCATGACAAAATTTAAACACAAATCACCAGGACTGTCCTGAATTTTTTAGTGGCAATAGAATGACAGATATTATGAAACTGGTATGGCTGCTTTACTCGTGCAGCCAATGCAAGAGAACCGGGGGCATGGATTTAAGTATTTTACACAGGTCAAGTATATAAGAAAGGTGCAATTGTGGTAGATATCAAAGTTATCTGCTCCTAAGATCATGTGACACATATATGGTTTTACTCACCGAAGTACAAATTCCCTGATGCAACAAAGTAACAGAAAGTTTTCATGCAACGACATAGTGCACCTGATGTGACAACTTTTTATGATGACAGGTATCGGAGCCAAGAATAAATAAGGAATACCACTGCTCAAAGCATAAAATACCTACAAAAACCCTCCAAATGCTTACCAATTTAAACTTGCTCTCTGCATAACATTTCTCATGTCCAGGGAAAAGGTCAGGATGTGAATCCCATACCTTCTTTCTGTAAGCCGCTTTAACCTACGAGTATTCACAAGATCACTACACCAGCAATTGACATGACAAACAAAGATCACCCTCAGCAGGAAAGGAAAACAACTATAAGAAGAATTGCCAAATCATGGTAGCTACCAGTATAACAAAACAATTAAAGATTGCGGTGAAGAATGTAAATTGATTTGGGTCTCTAGGCATCTAAGGCATGCCCTCTTTGATGCCTTTTGGCTTTTTGATTTGGGGGCATTGTTTCCCATCAAAATGTCCCTTTAGCTCCTCAGTTTTTGGAGGTATAGGGGGGCCGCTATTTCAATGGTATTCTGAGAGTAGCCACTCTGTGCATATATTGCCAAAGGTTAGGTTTGTCTCTAATCCTTCCCCGCTGTCACACGACGGCCTTGTGGACGAAGCCCGTGTGTGTGGCACTAGACAAACTCCTTTGCTAGTCCGCCAAACTCAAGTCTCCCAGTGTTTGCAATGCAAGCAAAGGAGATCAAGTAGTTGTCCACAACGTTAAAAGGAACCCACAACGAAATCAACTAGCTAGCTTAAAGTAAGCAAGACAAGATGCACAACACTTGAACGTAATAAGCAAGACGTTTATTGGAAGACTGAGTACAATCACTGAGAAAACTGAGTACATGTAGGAAGTAGGACTCACCTCAAGAACCCCTGGATATACGCAAAATTAGACTTTACACTTGTGGCACGAAGAAACGTGGGGTATGCTTAAGAAGTCATAATAGAAATACAAGGAAAGTGTAATAAAACTCTATTTACAACGCTTGTACAAGACTCAAATTACAATAATTACATTGATGACCCTTGAACAAAATTTCACAATTGATCCTCCAACCTAAGCCTTGGTTGCTTGATGTTGGCCTAAATGGTGACTTAGTAGAAGGGATAATGTGCATCGATAACAGGTAGGCCGTGCCACCCGCCCATAACCCCAATGATTGTGCACTAGATGGGTTCTGTTATTGTTGTTATTATAGGGAGATAATCCCGAACAAACACAATTAATGCCCGAGCATGTGGTACAAGGGACTAGGGCTGTCCATGGGTCGGGTTTGGTCGGGTGCGACCCGACCCGACGTTGGTCGGATTACTGAAATGTCCACCCGAGACCGACCGAAACACTGGTCGGGCTCCGACCAAAACGTGGCCAGATTGGAGTTGTCGGGTTCGGTCGGGTCATCAAATTTAAAAAGAAGAAGAAGAAGAAGAAGAAGCTGCGTGCACTCGTGCAGTACAGAAATGTGAGATCAAAACCCACAATCACATTTACAAATCAGCTCACAATCACGATTAACAACATAATATTACAAAATCACCATTCAAAATCACAGATCTACAAACCTTTTCCTAAAAATCAAAAAATTTTCCAAAATTACAGTGGCCCAGCCGCCCAGACCAGAGGCGGTGAAGGAGGTGACGGCTGGCGGAGGAGGAATCGGGCAAGGTAGGCCCAGGCGGCTGGGTTTGATTGCGACAAGGACGAGGTGGAGCTACCACTGTAGTCAGCAGAGGAGTGGTGGTGAAGCTGGCGTTTGGTCGGGGACTCCATTTCAGAGAGAGAGAGAGAGAGAGAGAGAGAGAGAGAGAGTAGTGGAGGTAAAGGGCGTGGTCCTGGTCAGGCGAGAAGAAGAGTGGAGGCGGAGGAGAAGGGCTGGAACTTGGAAGAGAAAACAGAACATGCGGACTGAATGGAGTAAAGGTAGGGTTTTTTCTTTTATACAAATATCTCGGTCGGGTCAGGTCTCCGAGAGTTTTATCTAGTACATCCGAAACCCGACCGACAATTTGTGAAATCCGACTAACTGGACCCGAACCCGACCGATCAAGGTAATCGGAACCGTCCGTTGGGTCTGTTTTTGGGTCGGGTCGGGTGGTCGGGTCGGGTCGGGTTAATGGACAGCCCTACAAGGGACCACCCGATAAATAAAATGGATTTCACCACCGATAAGAGCGGTGGCCAGCGTCTAGGACAAGTGACATGAGAAGTCATTGGCATACGTAATCTGTTCGGCACGAGAGGCCAGGAGCAAGCATGGGCTGTTCAACAACGAGTTGGCCGAACAGAAGGACCCTGCCTCATATTACCTTAAGTGACAAGGTGGATAGAATATTCTGGAAGCAAAAATGATTATGTGATAAACATAAGATCCCACGAATAAGGGGTACTAGCTGTGATCCCTAATAGAGATAGGATACTTGGCTTGGAAAGCGAAGAAGTCCCAGTTAGAATAAAGATCTGATACGTTAAGGGAAAGAGGATCCCGTGGATCCTGAGTTCCCTATACGAGATAGGAAACCTAGGGCAACAAGGAAGCTTGGGCAACAAGGAAGCTTGGGCAACAAGCACACGCACATTTAGGCATCGGAGGGCCTGTGCTGACGAGAGGCATAGGTGCGCTCACCCCTATTTGTTTTGCAGATTACGGTTCCGGCAAGACGATAGGGTACAGTGGCATGTGAGGCCAAACATCAGCGTGCTATTTCTAGCACCAACAGTTTTTGTCCGCCTACAGTTGTGTTGGTGGTGAAGAATACAAATCAACAAAAGGAAGGAGAAAACAAATTAAAATTTGTAACCACGTGACAATCCAGCCCTAGTAATGAGTGAATGACCCTCTATTATGAAACACACAAACTGCAAACACTTCAAAACATAGGATTTACCTCTCGTTCGTTACTGCAACACATACACATTAGGACAATCATCAAGTTGTTAGTGTGTTCGAAACATATGTCGCAAACACATGAAACTTGCAAAAAGAGGGGGTAGGGTAATGACCAATGGGGGAAAGTAAGGAAACATCTATTGGTTGCAGCGGCCTTTAAGAGAGATAGTGGAGTAAGTGTTAGGAACCTGGAGGGGGATAGTGCTTTAAAAAGAATGCTTATTTGGAAGAAATGTTTGTGTAGTTTTTGTGTTCTGCACGGAAAGAGATGATAAACTTGCTGACAATTAACGACATTACCATAGAGACAACTTTGCCTCTGCACTGTACCAATGACATCACAAGGCATGCATCCAAGCGCCATTGATCAGCTACACATCCTTATTATAAATCCCTCATCTTATGTATCTGTTCGTCTAGAATACCTAGGTACACCATAACCAAACCTTTAACCATTTAGCTTAAACTATTCCCTACTCTGCAGTAAAGGATCTTCAACTTGGACATCATTGTGTTGTTGAAACATTCATAATCATTAAGAAACCAAATTCTCCTTGTCAGATCCTCATATCCTTTTAACTGATAAATGTACAAATATGTCCTATCTGAGGCGTTCTGGGTACAAAGTTAAAGTCACTATTTCTCCCCTAATCTGTCTTGAAGTTGAGTAGACTCTATGAACTTGAAACCAAATCTCTCTATGACAACTGACTTTGGCCAAAATTTGGACATACAACTTCAAAAGAGAGTGGATAAGGACAATCAATGAGCAAAAAAACACCGTGGATAAGGGCACTTGAACCTACTTCGTGCTTAGGAGTGCTCATTGGTCTTCAGATCTTTAGAATTGCCTCATCAATGTTCATTGTCCATGCTTAGAGAGAATACAGAAGTGATGGCTTACCTTCTTATGTCAGACTCTACTCGGGCATATTGCCTTCCTTTTTTCCTTTTTTTTTTCTTTTATCCCAAACTCAAACAAACAAGCAAAAAGAAAGAGACTGATCAAATGATAAAGAAAACAACAATTCACAAGGATAAGTCTTCCAAACTCTTCACTTTCATTTTCTGTCAATACAACTCCCACATCTGATGCCACGTTACAATGCCTTGTTTATCAGACACTTATTTCGCTAACTGTTTTCAAATTGCTATATTGCCCCCAGACCAGACCTACAAGTCTGAATGTAGTTTCTCAGACAGTTTCCAAGAACCCCCGAGCTGCACACTCCCTGAGATTTTGGAGACACTAGGTGAACTTTAAAAATGAGGCCTCTCATTGTTATGTAAATATATTAGTTGTTTGATAATATAAGCAAGATAGGCCTTGGGGTGCAATGGCAGACCCCTTGTAATGTTTTTTGATCTTTAAAGGTTATGAGTTCCAATCTCACCTCCAGCAAAAATGCCATTTTTTTTATATGTCCACGTTAAAAAATGAAGAGAGAGAGAGAGTCGAACGCACGACCTCGCAGCTAGGAGAGGGGCCTCCTACCACTGAATCACACTCTCCCATATTGTCATATTAATATAATTCAATATTTGGAGGCCCCAGGTGGTGGCCTGGTAGGCTTATGCCAAGGGCCAGGCTTGTACATACTTCTAATTCATATGAAGCGGACGAGTTCCACCGTTTGTTCAAAGTAGAAACTATGAACTATGTGGTTAATAAAATCATTAAAAACTTTTGACAAATAGGCAATGTCCTCTTGAGCGTCGATAATCTCTGCAACGAGTTCGTGCATTGTCCACATCTGTGGAGCTTGCATCCCCACTTGCTGCAGAAGTTTAAAAAAAATATATATATATATATATATATATATCATAATGCTTTCCCTTAATTCACTAAAGTTGCGCTACGCATTGACTGGGGTAAGGAGGGGATAGAAGCTCCTTTCCCTCCACAAGCGTACTGGATATTACTGTTCAATCAACTATTACACTTTGCTGGGTTCAGTGCCCTTGCTAGATCCTTTTACTTTGATATTGCACGGAGAAAAGATATGAAAAATTGCATCAGAGTGACAATCCTAAAATCCACATCAGCAGAATAGACAAACTAAGCATGTATATAGCAGCCATACATAGATGAATTGAGAGATACGAATAAGCGGATATACGTATATTTAGAAAACCTGGGATGGAGTGGGACGAAAATTGGGAGGAAACCCAAGCAAGATCCTCGCCTCTTCAGCCCGCATATCTCAGAATTTCGTTATACCCATGCTTTACGATCCATGGCCGATGGAATCGAAACTTTTGACATTTTTTGATAGAAAAAATGAAGGGGGTCTGACCGGCCGGTTCCGCATCCAAGATGTTTAGGCCCCGCGCGTCAAACAGCTAATCCCGTGAATGTTTAGGCCCCGCGCGTGTCATTCAGTTTTCGTCAAAACCTTTTTTTTACACCCATGCGCTTTCAGTTTATACGATTAAACATTCTAGTGTCTCAACTCATGCATCATTGGTTAATATTGTGGGACTTATTATTTTTTGTTAATAATTTAGTAAATAAATTGACATTTGACATTTGATGAGTGGTGGCACATTGTTTGAAAAACAACAAATAATATTTTTAATCTTAACTTTTTTCTTTCTTTCTCTACAATTGTCACATGTTTACATGTAAATGCACTTGTCCATACATATACATACATAAACATGTATAGCTTAAATATAGTTAAAATTTTAAATAATAATAACTTTTGGTTGTGCAAATTTAGTTTTGAAAAAAAAATTGAAACCTACTCGATGAAATATTTCAAACAAGATCTATTTTGAGTTTGAAATTGTGTACACATAAAGAAGTTATTTTATACCTCGTAATTAAGAATACACACCATTTTTGAATAATTCACATCCTCTAAAATGAAAAAATTCACACTCCTTAAATGCAGAATTTACATACCTCAAATGCAGAATTTACACATCAAATTACACAATTCACTCTCCAAAATATAAGTTACACTCCCTAAAATAGGCAATTTACGACCTCCAGTTATGTACGATTCACACCCCCTATAACAGACAATTCACACCCCTTATTATTATATATAATTGGCAAAAGTATATAAACATCCCCTCAACTATCACTTTTTTTCACGAAGACCCCTCACATTTAAAAATACTCATACAGACCCCCTCAACTAATCTCCGTTACTCAAGTGACACCCTTCCGTCTCTAAACCGTTTGTGATGAACCCCCTCATTCATAAATCGGACAAAAATACCTTTGTTGCATTATATACATACACCCCTCTAACCATTCTCTTTTTTTCCTCTACAAATAGCCTCTAATCAAAATCTAAAATCAACAAATAGATTTGAAACTTTTGTTCATATATATATATATATATATATATATTCCACCCACACAATTTTAAAAAAAAAAAAAAAACTTCATCTCAACCATTAAAATCAATGGTTGGATTAAATTTAAAAGAACTGTATTCTTCTCCCCCCTCAATCACAGGTAATCTCTCCCTCTCCATCTAAGTTATTCTCTCTCTATACCCTAACCGACTAACCACTGGTTCTGGTGGCTTTTTTTACCTCTCCTCCAATACATGCACACTCTTTCTCTAAAGAAAAGTAAAAAAAAAATAGAGATGAAAAAAGCAACGTAGCAGTTGTCGTCGACTACCACCACCATTCTCCTCGACTTCTCTTCTCCCACATCTCTCTCCTTTTCCTTGTCTTCTTCCCTTCTCATTTCTTAACAGCAAAAGAACCATTGCGGCACCTGCTGTCGTCGCGCCACGTTATTCGCACTATTTTTTATTATTATATACAGAAGGTTCTCTTTAAAATGATTGATGTAAGGAAAAAAGATATTGTATAAAACGAAAAAAATGACTAGAATGCCTGATAGAATGAGAGTATAATATAAATGTTAGAGGGTCTCCATGAAACAAAGTGATAGTTGAGGGGGTGTTTATGTACTTTTACCTTATAAAAAAGGGTATCTTAGTCATTTCCTTCATTCTATTAATGGGTTAGTATTTTTTTTCATTTTCAGAAGTTGAGGGAGTCTGTATGGGCGTTTTTAAACATGAGGGGGTCTCCATGAGAAAAAGTGATAGTTGAGGGGGTGCTTGTGTGCTTTTGCCTATATAATTCACACTCTTCAAAATAAAAGAATTCATACTTTTCAAAATGAAAGAATTCACACACTCCAAATGCAGAATTTATACTTCGCAGCCACAAATACCCACTAGTAAGTCACTTTCCCCGAAAATATATTCAATTTTCGGTAGACAATTGCCAAACATGCATTTTCGGTAAATAGCTGTTGAAAAAAATATCATATTTCGGTAATTGGATGCTGAAAATGTATCTCAATTTCGGTAACTAACTGTCGAGTCTAATTGAAAATTTTTAACGGGGTATGGGAGAAAATTTGTGGCTGTGAATAGCGCCGCCCAGAATTTATACTCCCCTACATAGTTCACTCCCCAAAATACACAATTCACACCCCCTGTTGTACATAATTCACACCATCTATAACTGACATTTCACATCTCATATAACAGACATTTCACACCCCCTTAAACTCATATTGTACACAACTCACATCTTTTGTTATACACAATTCACCCTTAAACAACAACTCACACCTATATAACAGACAATTCGCACCCCTTAAACTCGTTTGTACATAATATATACTCTTAATGATACACAATTCACACCCTAAATGCAGAATTCACACACCTTATAATAGGTAATTCATACCCTCTATAACAAACAATTCACATCTCATATAATAGACAATTCACATCTCCTTAAATTGTGTACAAAATGAAAAATTCGCACTCCTTAAATGCAAAATTCATACCCCGTCTATCACATAATTCACACCTCTTATATCACATAATTCACACACACAAAGAACAAACAATTCACACCACTTTAAAACTCTGGTTGTACATAATTCACACCCCTATTTTATACAATTCACACTCCTATACAACAAGTCATACCCCTTGTTAAACACAATTCACACCTTAAAAATATACAATTCATACCAAAAAAACATTTTTTTTCCTACACATTATTTCACATTCAATATGGATCTTATTTGATAAATCTCGTCGAGTAGATTCTTAAACACTAAATTTTACGAAGAATATATATATATATATATATCGGGGCGATTCCGGGGACACTTAAAAAAACCTTTTTAAGTGTCCCAGGAACCGCCCCGTATATACACACACATAGTAAAAGATATTGTGTTTTAAATTTTGTAATTCAAAAAGTAAAAAAATACATCCACATCAACACAAATCAACATCAAGTACATTCTTAACATGTTCTCACGCGCGTCAGGACCTATGCGGAAGGACAATTCAATAAATGGTCTGCAAGGAACAAAACACTAAAAGCGCGGCCGGCTTGGAATTTTTCAAAAAATGAACCGGCTCCTCTCATGTTTCACGCTCTCCCAATCACTGTTTTGTTTGCACTTGTGTGGTCCTTTTATGGGCTCACAACAATGATCGAAACCATTCATATTGTAAATCTCATCGAGAACTTAAGCCTCATAACAAATCATTTTAATCGAATACCATTTGATATTTGATCAACACAAATTTTTATTAAAAAAACACACATAGCAGGACGAACGACAAGCGTTTTGAGTGAAGTAGGGAAAAGGGTAACCACATCATAAGACTAGACCTGATTCCTCCCCTCCTGCCGCCCCATTTTGGGTTTAAACCCTAGGGAGAGGGGGGAAGGAGAAAATCAAACAATTTGATCAATGTGATTTCGTCTTTGGTTCATAAACTGAAAATTTGAATCAAATGGTTTTGTGTGCCCTTCTACATTTTTTTTTTCAAAAACGATAACATATGATATTATAGATTCAATAAACACTACAGCAGGAGGAAACTCCATCTCTAAACAAAGGAGGGATCAAGAAACCAAACAGGAGGGGATTCAGTCCAAAAACTACACCCAACTCCAACTAAATCCATCGCTCCAAACAGTCAGAGCACTGCAGAAAACAACTAAAAACACCCACACAGGGGTGATAGAAGCCCCACAAACGGAAAGAAATCCCACACAGAGGACACCAAAGAAGAGAACAAAAAAGAGAAAAATTGGTAACGGAACCAAACGGAGTTCGCCGTATCGGAGCAGATTTCATCCACCAACCTAGATCTCTTACTTCGGCGGGGCAGTACGCCTCCGGTGACCATGATCTGAAAGACACTACCTCCAAAAGCCGTCAGACTACATGACGGAAGAGGTGGAGGAGGGGCAGCGGATGATGGTTTCGAGAGGAGGAGGATGGGAGTGAAGGGGAAAGGAGAAAAAACCTCTGAGATACAAAATTGGAAGATAGAAAAACCCCGTGAGGGGAAGAAATCCCTCCCCTTCCGTCACCCATTGGGATGTAAAAACCTTGGGAAGGAGGGGGAAGAAAGAAATGTGGGGCAGTGGCTTCTTTAAGGTGAGAGAGAGAGAGAGCGGGGGAGGGGGAGGGATGATGTTTTCCCCTTCTA